TTGTTGAAGTGGTCGCATGCGGTATCCCGCAAGCTACCACTCCAACAATCCACTTTTCTTACTTACTGTACAAATCTTGTTCTTATTCCAACCGTCTTTGTTTATGTCAACTATTATTACCTGTCAACATGCCAGAATAGCACTTTTAAAAACTGATCTTTGTGACATAAGTGTCATGAGTTTCTTAAGATCGATCATAGTTATGTGACCCCCAGATTACCATTGCAAGTGTAAGGTGCACAGGGGGTGGGGGGAGGTGGTGGTTGGCGGCACCTTGGAAAACCTATGTTCTAACAACTTGCAAAGGGGTCACTAGATGAGTGCAGTGTTATTCAGGAAGTAAATGTTTCACAGGTGAGAAGCGAGCAAGCAGAGGAAATAATTAAATAACATAAAAAACATACATAAAACTTTATTTATGCTCGAATTTTAGAGTAGCTAACAAGCTAATATCTCTGAGCTGACACTACATGAAAATAATATAGAAATATATATATACATTAAATGCATTATAAGAAATAATAATAAAATAGTATTAATAATAATAAGCACATAAAAAGAAAAAAAGAAAAAGAACAAAAATTCACAATTTTAAGTTTAAAGGGACTGGTTCACGGTTTTGCGCATGTGTGGGCGATGACGCAAATTCATTGTTTATGAACCAATCACAAATGAGAGCAGACGTCGTGTGGTCAGTCAGCTGGCTTCTTGCACTCGTAGATATTTATAAAATCTTTGTGTAACGCATATATTCAAGGGTTTTTCTTTGGAAAATGTCTTCCGCACCAGTTGAAGCTTCATTCTGCAAGTGCAGTGGAGTTTGTTCTCGGAAGGATGGCAGGAAAACGAAGGGTTGTACCTGCAAAACGCGAGGTGATTACTGCTCTTCCTTGTGCAAATGTCTACTGACTGGTAAAAAGTGTCAAAATCAGGTGGGATACTCTTCTTTTTTATACACATTGTATAGGCAATTTGTTTTCTCGTTGGAATATCACAGTAGCAGTTAGAATGACATACAGAAAGACTTTAGACCTTAGATCATTTCAGTCGTTTGTTGTCAAGTTTTCAATCATTTGTTGTCAATATTCCAGGTGTTTACAAATACACTCAGCCGCTATGAAACCGTTTTATATTTCTCACAGGCTGATTTTGTTAGACCAGCGAGGAGGAGAGCAAACACTGGGCAGAGAAATCGACCTTCTAGCCGTAATACAGGATCTGATGGTGATCAAAATGGTTCTGCCGCTGAGCGCTTGTCAGAAATGCAGGAATGTGCTCGCGAAAATGTGGCGGTTGAGGTGAGACGTCCTGTGTAAAAATGTTTTTGTGTCTGTTCTGAAGTTATCGAAATGTCTCAAGGTCTACTACTTGGCTATATTTTTTTATGAAACTTTGATACACTCCCATGGTCAACAATTTACTTTGCTTAGGGAACAACAATCTCTGTATTGATCACCCAGTCCACTCAGTGTTGTAGAAATAGTTTTCTATTTCCAAAATTTTAGTATTCAATTCAGACAGGCACTCGCGATAAACCCACAGAGGATTGCTGTCATTGCTTGTATGCGAAAATCTACCCTAAAAAGTTATCTGCTGTAAAAGATTTATATGAATTGTCTAGCAAGGTGTCCTACTGAGTAAAGAAATCAATATATTATTCTTTTTTTATCATTCAAGAATATGATACTTAACCTGGATGAAGAAACAGTAAGGAGACTTGCCATTAGAGTCCTTTTGAGGGGCATTGGCAGTTTGGAATTTATCCAAAGCCAGCTGGTCGCAGATGATGAAAGTGATGGTCCAATAATCAATGCACATGGATCCCCCATTAGAGGGCTGGTAGTCAGACAAACTGAAAGTACCTCTGGGGCGATGGATGAAACAACCCAAGAGGTGATCTCTGGCCCTTCCACTGGACCATCAACACTAGACAGTTCATATGCACCAGAAGGACCACCAACACCAGACAGGCCAAGACATGGAGCACCACCTGTCCGCGAGTGGTGCAAGTGTGGGCATTGTAGGCAAATGAACAGAGCTATCGAGAATTTGTGTTGTAAAAAAAAAGATTGTGTAACATTGACACAGCGGTTTTATAAACTCTGTCTGGATCCTGACATTTTACAATTATGTATTCTAAACAGAGGTGATATTCGCGATGATCCTGTTGACAACAGTCCTCGACAATTCAGAAAGGCCGCTTACAGACAGTTCATATTAGATAAGTACGGGTATTTGGGGAATCGCAAGGTTGTGCCATCTTGTGCTGTTTGGAAAGTTTGCGGGCAATATCCTTCCCCAACTGGAGTGTACATGGGTTTTAGAGATGATTGAATGTGCATAACATTGTAGACTCCCAAATATATAAATAAAATGCAAACTGAGATCGGACCAACTCTCCCATCTGCTTATTTTGGGTTAATGAGAGACCCAGGCATGCATCCAGCCTCCAAATTGAAGCTGTTTTGTGATCCTGACACAACTCAAACATTACAGTTCTACACAGTTGTTTTACATTCACTAAAGGGCTAGTAGTTATAGTAGACCAAATGACAAGTACACAAAATGCTGTATTCTCAAATAAGGCTTTTTGAATTCCCTGTAATTTGTTCTCTTGTCTATGTGTTTGGCTATAGATATGACACTGAATGACCCATATTTATGCCTATTATAACAGCCAGTTCCTATTTATTTTACATTCATGACCAGTTATTGCACATTTTTTATTTAGTTTTCCTGTAAATAAGTTATTATTAACAAAAAAATCTGATTATCGAAGGTATGTTTCCACCATGTTTGTCATAGTATGAATCACCAGATGGCTGTACTACATGTAATAAGACATGTTCATTGTTCTTCCAACAATTCAATAATTAATGTACTTGGAAACCTTTCAGCCTGGGCCAAATGTTACTGTTGCCTCAAAATTGGCTGCTAGAAACAACATTTACAATGAACATATTGAAAGACTAAATTAACATCTATATTTCTTTGACTGGTCTGGGTGGTTTATTTAAAAGGTTCTCAACAATTATTATTGGACACATTATCAAACCGACTTCTTTGAGTTGCAACCAGTTCACTAGTAATTGGGGGGTTAGAAATTGCAATCGTTGGTGTAATTCTTCTTGGATCATTTAGAGACATATCCATGAAGTCTTGCATGGATCCCGAATCATTCTTTCTCAACTTGAAAATCTTTGCCATAAGCATTGGGATGTAGGAATAATCCTTTTTACTTTTCTCTAGAGCAACACCCCAATGCTTTGTGCGTTGATTGTATCTCCGATGAAACATTTTCTCCCCTGACTCATCAGTCTGGGTTTGACGATAGAGGTGATAGTTGTGATCTATGGCACAGAACTTCTTTCTTGCCTTAAAGGCCTTGTACCTAAAAACCAAAATTAAAAACAATAAATGTTACTTACTTCTGATCAGTGACATTTTGTTTTCTGTATTGGTCCAATCAAATGTTAGCAGAATTGACCTGAAGCACTTTTAATTCTTATTGTTATTTACTGCCACCTTTCAGGTTAAAAAAGCACGAGAAGGTAACTTAGAGAGTATAAAGTACAGGAAATCATCTATTCTCTCAATGCATAGGTGGCACAAAGGATATCGATTCCAGGAAAGACAACCTCTTAATTTCAAAACACCTCTCAACATCTTATACTTCATCACCTGACAAATCAATGTCCTGATAATTCATATCTAATAGCCTTACCAAAAGGATGCTAGGTGCATTACCATTTTGGTATTATCAGAACAAAATTGAACAAAGCTTATGATGAGAAACCCTTGGATCACAAAAGATAAAGCAAACACAATGTGACATGTTAATGCCATGCTAAATCTGACATCCCAGACTATTATCAGCTCTATGATAGTGGGTATTGATGTACTATTTGCACATTATTACAAGAATATTACTAAAGAATAGGANAGACAACCTCTTAATTTCAAAACACCTCTCAACATCTTATACTTCATCACCTGACAAATCAATGTCCTGATAATTCATATCTAATAGCCTTACCAAAAGGATGCTAGGTGCATTACCATTTTGGTATTATCCATCATTCAGGTATTGTTGAAGAGGGGGACCGGTGGCATTTGGGCATAAATTAATTGACTAAAAAATTAAAACTTACCCGAAAGGCACACCTCTTTGATGCATACATGAGGGAATGGCTGTTTACAGTTTCCAGTGTTCCAGTGTGTCTGCAAATATAATATTAGTATACTGTATTTAAAGAGTTTTGAATAAAACAAGATTTCCAATACTCAATTGTGGGTGCCCATTTGATAGCATGTTCTACCTGAGTTAAAGGAGGTGCTGCAACTTACAGTGTAGTGTAGGGTGCGGTTGAAAGCTCTAGTACTTGCCATATGTTTGAGAGTTTATGAAAAATGAATGATCTTTCCTACCTGAATTTGACATAATACTTGAGTGATGCCAACAGTCGTGGAACAAGTGTGACTTCCTGAAGTGCCTGAAAGTCTTTCTCCCTTCTGTCAAACCAAGGCAAATCATGCTGCTCTTCATCAACTGGACCGTGTTGACATTTGCCATCAACCCACTCATGCTTATTGCACACATGATGCAACAAACTAATCCAAAGTGTCTACAAATGATGAAGAAAATTAAAAGTCAATGTCTCCAGAACAATACAGTAAATCCTTGCACGTCTTTTGCCAAGGTTATTTTCTGTGCCTTTGTTAGCTACAGTCTTTAAACCACAAGCGTGATGCTTGGTCCTGCACAACATACAGGTATTAAACTGACAAAGTGACCAAGAATTTACACACGATAGAACAGTGTGACAGTAAATGATGGTTGGAATGAACAATAAACAACTATTTTTTTTTACGTTGAGTTTTGATTCTTGTCCATCACAATTAGAGCAACAGTACCAAAAAATGGTTTATAATGTGATCAGTCCACTGAGAACTTTTTTCATTCCCCTTCGTTTTCCCAAGCTGAAATCAAACACAATGAAGGAAATGATAATCACTGGTCAGTAATTGAAATAAAATAACTTGCGATGGAAACACATTAATCAAAGCTACTAGTTGTTTCAATAACAATAAATTATTTTAAAGGGATGTAAGAAAAAAATACTTGTATTCAAATTTGCTGTGTGCATGCAGCATGATCAATCTATCCAGTGTTTTCACATGATGTCACGACAGCCATATTGGTGTCCCAAGACAATGAAACGGCGGCCATGTCGGTGTCCCAAACCAATCCTGTGGGAATTGAACTCTTTTCTTATGCAAACGCTTTCTTTTGTTCAAATAAATTTGCATAGATGCTGGCTGCGTTAGTGAAAACACTGTATGCAGGCTGATAGGTAATCATCACTATCATCTTATTATTTATATATTATTATTATTATTTATATAATATTTTCTTATCAATGGTATACCTTCATGAGACACTTTCTTATATTCTTCGACTTGTGCCAGATATCAAGTGAATGGGCAACGTCTTTGAATTCATCAGCTAATGGGTAAGAAATAAATAAAAGTGGATTAATTCAAAAAGAAAAGCTAATTGTGCTTTTCTCAAATTCTTCAAAATTCTGTAAATGTACCAAAGGAGGTCAGCAAATGTTTGTATGTTGAACAAAGCTTATGATGAGAAACCCTTGGATCACAAAAGATAAAGCAAACACAATGTGACATGTTAATGCCATGCTAAATCTGACATCCCAGACTATTATCAGCTGTATGATAGTGGGTATTGATGTACTATTTGCACATTATTACAAGAATATTACTAAAGAATAGGAAAAATGCATTGTATTGTACCCATCATTTTAATTATGGATGATGATGCATCAGTTACTACTTCTTTCAGGTTCACAAGGAGCTTTAATTTTTCACTGGAACGCTTCAAGGCCTCTTTCTCCATATTTGGTGATTTCCCACCAACCTCTCGTTTATCCATGCACTCCAGGTGCACTATGTACTCTTGCAATGCATCTGTTACCATTACAAAGTAAGTCAGATACTTTGCTGAGTGTCCTGGAGAGTCACTCTGCCCATCACCACTGACTACTAACTCCAGAGTTCCAATCAGTGAAATTATGTTTGTTCTCATCCACTCCCACCATTCATCAATTGCTGGAACCCAATAGAACTTTTGTACTCGCAAGAAGGAAGCCCTGGATGGACATGAGAGACCAAGGAATCTGCTCATCAGTTCTANTATGATAGTGGGTATTGATGTACTATTTGCACATTATTACAAGAATATTACTAAAGAATAGGAAAAATGCATTGTATTGTACCCATCATTTTAATTATGGATGATGATGCATCAGTTACTACTTCTTTCAGGTTCACAAGGAGCTTTAATTTTTCACTGGAACGCTTCAAGGCCTCTTTCTCCATATTTGGTGATTTCCCACCAACCTCTCGTTTATCCATGCACTCCAGGTGCACTATGTACTCTTGCAATGCATCTGTTACCATTACAAAGTAAGTCAGATACTTTGCTGAGTGTCCTGGAGAGTCACTCTGCCCATCACCACTGACTACTAACTCCAGAGTTCCAATCAGTGAAATTATGTTTGTTCTCATCCACTCCCACCATTCATCAATTGCTGGAACCCAATAGAACTTTTGTACTCGCAAGAAGGAAGCCCTGGATGGACATGAGAGACCAAGGAATCTGCTCATCAGTTCTATCTTGGAGTGGTTATTTCCAGATAACAGTACTGCTGAAGAGAATTGCAGGTTGTTAGAGTACATTCCACCATATTCCTCTGATGAGTGTCATTTGCCCTTGTGGCCATTCTGACACTTCCACCACAGCTCCATGGTACAGCCAACACTTTTAGACTTCACAGTGCATTCGCTAGCACAGCCAGGTTCCTGGCATCTCCCTCTAAAAAGATCAATAAGCCTTGTCTCTGAAATGATAAATTTTTGTTCCTCAATCTTGAGCAGTTCCTCCACGTGGGTATGTGCTTCCTCTGCACGTGAAAACTGGAGCCCAGGCCCAATGGGATACTGGCTATACACATCTTCTTCCTCCTGGCTGTTCACTGTTGCACTGTCACTACAAAAGAAAGGCACAGTCAGATCAACAAATTGTGCATATAGCCAAGCATGTACATGCATCTAATAACATCATTACATTCATATTTTCCCATTTCTTTATTAATTTTGTTTGAAGGATGGGATGAAAATTCCACCAGTGCTATAAACCTACATATCTAGATGGGTAAAAAAAGTTAATCACAGAATTACCTGACAAGCTCTTCTACTAGTTCTTCCCCACTAAGGTCTCCATCTTCATCTTCATCATCGTCTTCACTCTGGGCATCATGCTCACTATCAGAGTCTGAGCTGCTGGTACCACTGTTTTCATCACTGTCCTCTAACAGTGTCAGTATATTCTGCATACTAGAACAAAATGCCAAGCATGTATTCAACCAAAAAAGAAAATCACACTTACTAAAGATCCATGAAGAGTATAAAAAGTTGCAGTGTCAAAGTTATTTCAGTAACCCAGAAACAGAAGTCCTCTCATTAGGCAGTGCACCTTTTAACATAATCAGGAACTTTGTATCAATAAACTAATGGATATGGTCATAAGACTTCCATTCCTCCTAAACAAAAGGCTTTTCATTTCTAATAAACCTGTTGATCACAAAATTACAATTATCACATGTTTACATATTTTATTACTAACATTAATTTCATCCTCTAAAACCCACCCATCCAGGAAAATTCAGTCCTTTTCATGGGATAGATATGCACAATTTCTGGGGCTTCTGTATACAATAATATATATGCTGAAGTTATTTTTTTATCTCTGGTAATTTTTGTTTTTATTTTGTTTGAGGGTATGGTAATGTATGCTAATGAAGTTGAAACAAAGGAAAATTAAAAATTACCTGAGATAAAAAATTAACTACATTACAAACAAAAAGTCACGTAAAGATGGTATTACTTTGTTTCATTATCGCTGTCATCAGGCTCTTCACCAGACAAGCTTCTGTCTGATGTTTGACCTTCTGAAGTGTCTGACTGGAAGGCTTTGTTGGGGGTCACTAGTACTGAACCATCAAGAACTTGAAAACTAGGACTGTCAGGACCCTCTGTTGTTTTCTGCATTTCCCCATCTTGATCTTCATCCTCAGACAAATGTAAAAATGAGCCTGTTATGTCCACGAACCTCTGGTTGTCGCAGCTCTTGTTTCTACAAATAAATGAATAAGAATAAGTCACCAATAAATATTTTGTTGAGCTAAGTACAGCCTAAGTGCTCAGTTTACCAGCATCCTGGTATAAACCTGGCTGAATAGACAGTGCGTCGAGATATTATTGACTCCAACACTGTAAACGTAGAAGTGCTGCCCAAATACTGAATCATGAAAGGACAATATATACCATGAAATCACATGCGGGACAAAATGTGGTCTACTGGGAAACATCTCACTATACCTTTCTGAAACTGACAAATGTTGTAGGCTGGCACTAGTTATCCCTGATGGAGAAAAGAACAGACTCCTTTTCGAATGCTTGACTTGACCAGGAGTAGAAGTGACTGGGCCTGAAAACCAAAATATGTTGACATCGGAAAAGTCGTCACAGTCACAAAAACACGACAGGAAAGAGCAAACATGTGGCTGTGTTTACCTGATGTATCAGTTCTTGTCCTCTTCGATCGTTTGCTTCCACTGCTTTTCCTGGCCATCCGCACAGTTTGCATTCCCTTCTTGTTCATTCTACATGAAATATAATTATCATTCTCTTATGAGTCTATCAAACAAGATTTCTATATATTACGATGAATGTGTGAGATTCGATTAGACAGAGGAATTTATTACCCGCTTGAAGATCGAGATCAGGAGGCACAACACAAAGTTATGCCACTAAAAAATGGACACAAAAGCATAAGGTGTGACATAATATCAATTCATGGGAAAGCAAAGTCATTTGAATACGTCTTCTTCAAAAACGACAACCAAACATTACTCACCAAGGGGATGATAGCGCGACGAACCAGTCAGTATACTATCAAATTCTAAAGAAGGAGGGAAAAATAGATTATGATGGTATAAACGTCTCTTCCGCCATTGCGAGGACTTTTGAGAAGACTGTGTTTATAAGGGTTCATGCAAGAGACAATAGACAAAATAGTAGGACTGAGGAAGCCGGTCACAGAGCGGGGGATCCTCGGGGCCCCACGGGTATTAAAAAACACAACCGACCGACATGCATTGTGGATAACACTCCCCGGTGATCAACGCAGATCGAGTGTGCAGCTCAGGGAGACGAACAGACGTGCCAACTTATTACAGTCGAAGAAGCGAATAATTACCGATATTTCTGCTTTATATGTGACTTGAATGAGTACTTTTATCTAATTGCATCTCATGAGTGAGGTAAAATCTGAACAGTAAGTGTCGAAAGACAAAACATCATGTCGGCATCATGGTTCCGTGAGCTCAGCTGAGGAGAACGCTGGACTCTCTTATCCGGTTACATATGTAAGCTCACAAATAAGCTCTTATAATCAATTGAAAGTGCAGAGTCCTTTAATAAATTTCCATATTTGAATGATATTTTTCTTTCACAGGACTCCGCGAGCACGTCAAAGAAGAAGATTTGAAACTCGCTAGAAACCCGCTGTTTTGCTTTCAGTCTGTTGCTTTGGATAGGGTAAGGGAGCGAGACGGATACACACTTTGCTGGTGAGTTATCCCCGGACTTATCCCTTTGAGAACGTGTAAAGTTATGTCCTCGGAGCAGTTTTAGAATACTTTTACCTTCTCAGGCACTTTGAAACGATATGATTATACTGCTCCCTCGCGTAGTACCACAGCTAATAGAGAGTGTTAGCATTGACAACGAGTACGAGTACGAGAACGAGTCCATCTCGTACTCGTACTCGTTATCGTTCTTGTAAAAAATGTGTAAGCAGGACATACGAGTACGACTTCACGAAAAAAATATTTTGGGATAGTATTGTCATTTTAGGCGCCATTTTCAAATGATTTGCTAGCTCTTGCGTCCTGTGAGTTCAGTGCTGTTGCAAAGTTTTTCTCGGTAAATGCTGGTATGGCTCTCAAAAGGATCCAGGAGTGCATTTTGCTAAGCTACACTCAAGATCTGCTAGATGACAACGAATTCTGCCTCCTTTACGATGCGAATTACGCTAACTACCCT